AAGAAAGAAGGCAGAGATCTTTGAGAGATCTTTGTATCATTTTCCAGGATGCAGAGCTTGAAGTTTTACATCAAAAGCATTGTCAGAAAAACTTTTTCCCTTCCTGGGGATGTCCTGCCTGTTGTGGCCACGTTGTGCTGGACACTGCTGCAGGGCAATGCAGAGGTGGCTGGCACACAGCTCTCTGTCCCCTTTGGCTCCCACATCTGCCCCTGGCTGTTTTCCCCCACCAATAGCCAGTCATATCCCTGCTTTGCCTAGTCTTGCCAAGAAAATAACAACACAGCTTCCGAAAACAGATGTGGGGTTATTTTCTTTTTTTCTGTTTTACAGTAAAAATGAGTGGACTGAAGTGACTCATACCACTTGTCCCTTGTGTCTTCAGCCATACAGTCCTTACAGGACATCCTTCTGAGAACCACAAGACCAATGCAGTATTGGGCCTGTTTGTCTCTCAGACGCACTCTTCCTTCTGTGTGCTGGCCAGCACAGGCCCCATTTCTGTTGTCTCCTTGCTCCTGACAGGTCAGTTTTTAACCAGGAGATCCCTTGGCTAGGGCAGCTCTGAGCTCCCCACGTGGCTTCACCAATGGCAGGGACATGCCCTGTAGTCTGGATGTGCAAGATGAGGGATTTGGGGATGCAGACACTATGGGGATGAGCATCCAGACAGCAAACCCTCCATGCCTGGGAAGGATGGAGAGCCAGAGGTGTGCTTCTGAGTCACCACATTCCCCGGACTCCTCTGGGCCTGGCACAGCTTAGTCACCACTGCTTGCCTGGAGCCATGCCCAGCTGCTTTCCCAGCTGCTGGTGGCACCATGCCTGTTTTCCCTGGGAAACTCAGGAGGAAACCTCCTGCCCTTGTGCTGGAGGAGCAATGGCTGTGGGCCCAAGCAGGCCGCACTTTGATTCTGGAGATGCTGGCATCCGCCTACCCGAATCTCAGGCTTCACTCAGGATCACTTCCCTGTATGTGAGACTGAGCTCCACCTCGCTGCATGGGCCTTCCCTCAAGGGGCACACACAACAGGTGTTGGCAGGGCAGCAGGGGCCTGGCCAGAGCAGCCTGTGTGAGTCCCCCGCATGGACTGTGAAAAACCCATCTCATCAGGAAACTTGTAGTGAGCTGTGGGAGAATTTGGCACCGGAGACTGGCGTGGAAAATATTAACAGCCTGTAAGAAAGTCTGGCTTGTGCTGCTGTGGGGAGATCAGCAACTGGCAGGGATACAATTCATGAAGGAAACTCCTGAGCTGCTCTGTGAGAGGGCCGCTCTGGAACTGTGCATCAAGATGGGAGCTATTGCAAAATAGTGTAAGCTTTTGCGATTGCCCAGAGACGCTGGCCACAGCCAAGTTGCAAAAGAGCACTCCAGTAACTACTTCTGCAGGCCAAAAAAGTCACATTAAAAAAAAATAATAATAAACCAGAAGGAAAAAAAAAAAAAAAGGGAAGCAAGCTCAGCTCCATAAAGATGGCTTAGAGAGAAAACCCTGTTAGAAAACTGGCAGTTACACAGCCATGCTAAATGAAAAACACTGTTCCTCTCCTCCCCCTGTCCTGTTCAGCATGTGCAAAGGACGTGGTTTCAAAGGCATTTGGCTCTGGCCTTGTTCTGAAGTCACGTGAAATCTTACTATGATTTTTGAAGGGAAAGCATAGTACATTTTTTAAAAACATCACTCCAAATCATTTGAGCCATAAACCATCCATTAAGGCTTTCATGGCATCTCTATTCCTTCAAAAGTCACTTTGTTACTGAGAGATGTCTCATTTGGCTACATTTGCTTCTGGACTCCAATTGGGCAGCTCGTCTGAAGTTGGCTGTGGCAGCAAAGCGCTTTCCTTCCCTAGCTCTATGGGGGTCACTCTAGTGGAAAGGGCCTTGCAGTCACCCTTACAATATCGTAGCTTGCATCAAAATGTGCGGAGGCAAGAGGAAGATGATAGCATTTTCCATTAGCACACCAGGCTGTGAGCTGCCATGGATGAGGAGCACATATCCTGCAGGCTCCTTGGTGGCTGGTGACCTTTGGCAAGGGGTATGTCTGGCAGTGGTGGCAACTGCTTTGGCAGCATCCAGTCCAAAAATAATTGTGATCTGTTTTTTCCTATGATGTGTTGAGGAAGGATATGCTGCTGTAGCTGTTTGAGTCTGACCACCATCATCATTTTGCTTCTAACCAAGGGAGCAATGCAGAGTCAGATATTTGAGCTTTTTGAAGAATTTAGTATTGCTTTTACTATTAGAATCTGATTTAGAACCTTCCTGTTTGGCTTATTATTTTCTCTCTCTAAGATCAAATATTATCAACATATACAAAATGTATTTAAATGTTTGAGTTATTTTCCTCCTTCTGTTCTGTTATACATCTGTTGCAGTTACTAAGGCTTTTGCTGGTTGGAGATGACTTTGTCAATATGAAAGTTTTAATTTATGGATAGTTTGAGATGAGAGGATTTTTTAAAGTCCTCATGTGATCCAATGGTTTATGAGTGCTTCATGCACATTAAGTAAATTTGAAAATTAAAAAATGTAAGTGGTAAAGTTAAACGTAAAGACCAACAAGCCAAAACTGTTAACAGAAACGCTGGGACATTGATGAAAAAAACCTGTCTGGCTATAGTCACTTGATGTGCTAATAGGAATTTTAACAGTATTTTCAATACTAAACTAATTAAGATTTTGTTAGGTAATGCTAATAGGCATTGAGCCAGAACTTTATTTATCTAAGAAGAACACTGCAGTTATCCAATGTATGGTATGCTCTCCTAACTTCAAATCTGAGACTGAGGGAAGAAGCCAAGCCTGGATTGCTGCTGTACCTCGTGAACACTGTATGCTAAACCAGCTCCTTGTTGTTTTACATTTCCCTGGAGCATATATATACTGTAGTCCAGTGATGAGGTGATGTACAGGTACTCATGTACTCTTTCATTTTGGGTGCAATATCTCCTACATTTAAGGGTCTAATTTGCAGAGAAGGAGCATGGTGATAGTATATGTGTCCTGCAATTGATTTCCTCGGGAAAATAAACTCATTGATAGATACTTATTTTGCTAACACCTGTGTGGTGAATACATTACAGACTTCCCAGCAGCTTGGGAGGCTGATTACCGGCTGTTAGCTCTCATGTTTGCAGTGCTGCATAGATGAGTCAGTGTGTGAATGCACCCCAGTCAGCCTTAGTGCAGATTCAGCAAGGTCTGCTCAAACTGTCTTCATCAGCAGATTAAACTAATCTGTGTAATTTAGTGCTGAACCAAATGATAACTGCTCATATATTTCCTACCACCGGATCTCCTGTGGGATTGGTCATCACCAGAAGAATAATGGTAACAAGAAGCTAGGGAGCATTAACATCTTAAGTGTCACTGACATTGATAAATTGTGTCAAGACATAGCCTAAGGAATTTCTGTACAACAGCCATGTGTACTTGTGACCCTCTCTGAATATACAGAGTTCAATCTGGGTTATGCCATCTATCTCCTCTACCTGCTACTTTGCACCCTCCTTATATCTGAGAAGCTGTCGGGGATGGGGAACAGATTGGTCAGCTTCCTCTGTGCTTTAATGTGGGCAAGTATATAGATTAGGTAATGCAAATACCTGTTCTTTGCCAGCCACTCTTTTTCATCTGCAGAGAAACTACAGATCATGAAAGTGAAGAAGCATTCTCCATTACTATTAATAGCGAAGACAACTTGTGGTTAGGGATCGAATACTAATTTATTAATTTTGAATGAACTAAGGACCTGTCTGAATGCACTATAAAATGCTCATACACTTCTTATCATGCATTTTTGTAGATTCAAGGACACTTTAAATAATTGGTTTGGTCCAGTTCACAAGACTGCCACAATCCAGGAGTAAAACACACATGTGACTAACCACATACATGTAAATAGTCTACTTGAATTTAAAGGGCATATTTAATTTCTGTGCCCAATCTTTTCCAAAGTGGTGCTTATGTTCATTTTCATTTTGGTAATTAGGGGCTAACAGATAACTGTAGTTTGAAGATCAAATCCTAGGATTAATGGTAAAGTCAAGTTATGACTGACTACAATGGGAGAAAGATAGTTTCTTTAACAAAATTCACTGAACTACTGGGGATCAGTACTAATTTAGACTTGTTTGAGGGAAACAGGATGGTAGAAAATAATCCTTGGAAAGAGTGACATTAGTTGCTCCCACTTAAATTAAATGGCAGGATAAATGAAAGTTCAAAGGTTGAGTTCAAAAAGACAAACTCAAATAAATGTAGTTTTTGAAATAGATTGTGATGAAAAACTATGGACTTGAATACAGAAGAACTTTAGAATTTCTTTAATCCACATTTTAAAATTTGGTGAAGAATTTGTGTCTCAATGACAGGGGAAATATCCAACAAAAAATGTGCCGAAAATATTCGCATAGAAGAAATAGGGAAAAAAACTAAAAGGACTGAAAAGGAATGAACAGGCAAGAAAACTATTTCTTTAAAGTTCAGTTGTCTTGGTAATACAGGGATTGCCATCAGTAAAGCTACTGCGTGCTTTGCAAAGAATAGTAAAAAAACATTTTGTTTCTTTGTTGTTTTTTTTGTGTTTTTTTTTTTTTCAGGCATATGGATGGGAGAAAACTAAGGAAGGAGCAAATATAACTATAATAGCATCGGATAGAGAAGAACAGTGGGGTTACTGAGTTTGCTTTTTGCCACTAACGTAGTAATATTGAATACAGAAAGCAAAGACAGGTCAGCTAATAGGAATAAAATATGAAAATTAAAGTGGAAATAATTATTACAGGCAAGGGCAACAACAATGCTCAAAGAGTTTAACTTGTTCTAGTGGTATCAGCTAACTTCCACTCCAAAACTTTGAAGAAACATTGTCTGATTTCTGATGTGATGTGGCAGAAACAGCTACCAAG